ATTAGTTCATGGCCACAGTACAAAATCAGCAATCCACAGGGAGGATGACCTCATTTTAGCTATTTGGAAATATTACATCTCAACCCGATCGCCATTGTGCCTCAGGGTAAGAAGATGGGCACTGGTGTTAGTGCTGCGAATTAAAGGAACAACATGAATTAACTGCTTTTATAATTCTACACGATTGGAAAACAAAAATTTGATACGATTAGAAAATGACCATCCCCTCGTGGTGTCCTTAAATCACCTATTTTGGTCTATGTTGGTGGACCAGCCGGGGCACGTCAGGACAATGTGCGTTAGCATGCACGCCAATACTAGCATCCCTATTTTCAGGTGTGGACAGTTATTATATGAACTTTAAGAAATCCAGAATTGTATTTTAGCAGACAGTGCATGTCCTGTACAGCACATGAATTAGCTTGACTTCTTTAAAGTCTGGCAATACCAGTCTGACACGTCCTTCAAAGTAAAGTTAGTTAAATCTTAGATATTACACAATTTGGCTACAAGGTGAGTTCATATTAAACCGGGCAAAAATATGCAATATATTCACGTATTGTCTTCAAATTACCCAAAAATGTTCCAACTGACACCTATGCTAACTACACACAAAGTCTAACTCATTTAACTTTTGTTAGAAATGAGCTAAATTGTTGTTCGTTGATAAAGGACTTTGCCTTCACCACAGTGGCTAAAAAGCAAATCATATTTCACAAGAAGAGGAAATGGAAAGAAACTATATTCATCACTGTTGCTTTAAATGTGTGTAATTGATACTGCTGTTTTTAATACTGAGAAAAAAAGTACTAAAAAAAAGGCATTTCAGTTTACTGAATCACTTTAAAAGCTCCGGGCACTTCATTTCTCCATTGCAGGAAATGGTTATGAACAAATGCCCATAACACTGGCCGTTCATTGTCCTGGAGGATGTTTATCCTTTTATACCCGGAAACAAGTTTGGAAACATTTTTTTATTTTAGGCTCAGGATGTTATTTAATCAAAATTGTTCAAAGTCACAGTTGAAGAAGTGTCTGGATGAAATTAAAACAACATAGACAGTGACTGCAGAAATGGGCTAAAATGACCTCATAAGGAATTTTAAACAATCGGTGCCTTAGTAACTGAATGTTTGTTTTAGGAATATTTGATAGTCAAGACATCTTTTCCAACAATAGATGACAATGAACCACAATTAGTTTCTTATGTTGATACTGAAAGCGAAAATCATCAGTACTAAACAGGTTTCTCTTCGGCTCAGTCTGAGTGCCAAGACTTCTTTTCATTCAGCTCAAAATAGAAAGTCACTGCTTACGCACGTCTCCACAACATAGTTTAGGCAGTGCCGGGCGGGAGTGATTTGTGGGGGTGGAGTAACAGAATCACGGGGAACCAAAAGTATCTGGAAAATGCCAAACGCAACTCAGGGTGTAAATCATTGGCCTCATCTGCATGTGAAAAGCCCAGGCGCCTCTCGGAATAAAACCAATGTGACATTCTCAGCATGTTTGTAACAGATTGATTTACATGCTGCGTCATGTGATCTGACAGGTTGGGTTCATATGAGGAATCCAACCATCAGTTAAATGACCTCGGTGACCCTACTGAAACTTGCCCACTCCCCCTCCCCACTGCGGCAGATTCACTATCGCATAGCAGCAGCAGAGGGCAGCACTGAGTACAACTGAAACACTGGAGTGGACTACTTTTTCTTCATGACAAACACATTGCATTTTCAAATTGATAAAATGCAATAAGGGCAGTATGTGAAATAAAAACTGACATATACATCATCATTTTAAAGAATTCATTTGTAAAAAAAAGTACAATAGATATCAAATGTCAAGCCTATTTTTCCTTGTCTACGCATGATTTATTTGCAGCAAATGCACACCAGACCAAGCAACGGTGTCCAAATCAGTCCTCCCTAGTTGTCAAGACAACAGTTTTGGTCCATATCATCATAATACTAAATAGAGAACTAAAAGCAGGAGAAGTCCAAAAGGTGATTGAATACCCACGCTCGCATGGGAACCTCATGATTGTACATCACTCATGAAGGGTTTTGTGCTTGCCTCGTATTTATTTTTGTAACAGCAGCAGCGCTGAGCGAAAATGTGCTTATTCATGTCACGATAACACTTATTTATTCACAAGCCCAGAAATGAGTTCATTCACAATAGCTTGGCCGGGCTGTATGTTGGGAAAAGTACTGTCCTCGGCTGCTATCAATTCTGGTTTAGAAGCAAAGGTCCCAATTTCAATGACACCGTTGGTGATGGATTTAGAAGAACAAGTATGATTACAACAGCCATTTACTGCTCTGTGGATTTATCCGGTTACTGTTGGGATAACTGCGACGACGTTATGACTTCAATTTACAAACACAAGGTCGATTCTCATAGCAGTTGACATAAATGATTGGTTGTAGCTAATGGAGAGCGATGGCACTTGCTTAACCCATGGAGAGATTTATTGCACAATGAGGTCATTTAACACAAAGGTCTGTCATAAATTGAAGCAATGAGTTGGTCCTTTCTCAGAAATCTCGCTCCTGCACATCGTCTCTCTCTGGATGGGGCCTACACGACATGTCAACGTACAAAATTCACGCGGAGCAGCACGCGTGGCAATTTTATCAGCCCACCACTTGTTCCGCTCCTCACTAGAGTTATTTCACATCGAGGGGTTGTGTCAAAACAATGTCAGTGAAAGATGCAGTCATTGGCAAATGCGCGGCAGGACAATACGGTACTATGAACCCTGACAATACTATGAATAGTTTTTCAGCACATATTTTTTTTTTATAAAAACAAGTCAACAGACTGCCAGACAAAATGTTTTAAGCGCTACATAGCCAGAACTGGAGACAGATTTGATCAAAAAGCAATTGTTTATTTCGGTTAAATAACATTTGTGCCAATTATGTTGCATCTGTTGAGCCAAAGAATTATCAGAGACGATACAACAAAATGGCGTTGTTAATTATGCACCTTGTGGTCATTTGAACAAAAGATCCCGACAGTACTTGTGTTTGAGCCTGCTCTCGTCTCATGCGAAGTTTGTGGGATTTTTTTTTTTTTTTTTTTTGTCAAAAAAGTGTTAGCAGACCAGACCGCTGGGCTTCAGGTTGGAACCGCAAAAGTCAAGTGTCACCGAGGTCATGCAATTCGGTGATTAGAAAAAAAATATTCCTTGAAAGTTGCAAATCACTTCTGCCATGACCTCATGGCATTTACACCAAGTAAGCAGACTCACATTCAAAGCAGTAAGACTCCAGTGCCATATTGTCACTTGAAACAAAGAGAAGGTTTTATTTTACCTTTAACAATGGTTTCTGTCTTTTGCCACTTTTTTTTTTTTTTTTTTTGAAAGAAAGCTACAAATAGAAAAGCTTACGTGAATTATTCTGACTTTACGTTATTCTTGGTCACGAAAGACTCACTTTTGTTACATTTAAATATTAGGAGTGGTTCACTTCCTTTAACACTTGCATGATCGTTGTGAAAATGTAGCTTAGAGCTTTGCCTGTATACTTGATAAAGATTTTATGATGCAACAGTTTGGCCTTGGTACAAATTATTTCTATTAGTTCCTCAACCACATGTTCACTGCATTCCTAAACAGATTGCGTATGACCTTATAGCCCGGGTGTCAGAACAGATTTTTGTCACAGGCCACAGAAGTTATGGTTTCCTTGAAGGGCTGCTATGACTGTGAACCCAAATAAATGTATGATAGCCTCATATTACATATACACAACAAATTGATGACTAACTACTTTTGAAAGCAAATGCCTTAAAAGCTTTCTGTTCACATATTACACCTATTTTTAAAGGGGGAATTTGGTAAAAAAAAATTAAATGCATGCAATATCTCAACATTTTTAAAAGCAAAAACAATTTGAAACTTTTATATTTTAACAAGAAAAATGAAGTAAACGGACACAATTCGCTTTCATGGGCCACATAAAATGATGTGGCGGGCCAGATCTGGTCCCCGGCCTTGAGTTTGACACATGTGCCTTAGAGCAGGGGTCCCCAGCCGCCGGTCCGCAGGGCATTTGGTACCGGGCCGCACAGAAAGAACTTGCCATAATTTCGTTTTATTTATTTCGGAATACGAACGACGTTTTATTTTGAAAAATTACTGGATTCTCCGTTACATCCGTCTGTGTCACGCTTGACACACGTCAAGCCACGCTTCTCCGTCACGTGACCGATTACGCTAAAAACAAAACGCCAGAGCTCGCAAAATGAGTAATAAAACTGCTGGAGAGCGCAAATGACGGCGGCCTTAAAAGTACGTTCGAGACAACTGGATTAAAGTTATGGCTGAATATTCTGAGATCGCCACAGTAGCACTGTTGCTATTTCCGACATGCTACCTGTGTGAGGAGGGGGTTTTCTGCAGCAACCGCGACTAAAACAAAATTACGAAGTAGACTGGACATAAAACACACACTTGAGGTGTCATTGTCTCCCATTACCCCGAGATGGGACCGTCTGGTTGCAGAAAATCAAGCTCGGGGCTGTGGTGAGTCGTCATTTTCATGCACTTTGAATTTGCGTTTTATCGTATTTTGAAGGCATTACACATTACCTTAGCGGATCAGAGAGAGTGTTGCGGCCAGATTAGACGCTCCTTGTGTTTATTATTATATTTCGAAAACACCACAGTTTCCATGGAGCTCATACCATATTATTTTGTTGTATTATTTCCGCCACACCTTAAATGCCGGTCCCTGAAAATATTGTCTGACATAAACCGGTCCGTGGGGCAAAAAAGGTTGGGGACCCCTGCCTTAGAGGCTATACTGTAGTCCAATTCAATCACAAGAGTTTTACAATTGTCTTCCAATAGCTTACGGTATGTCTCATAAAATCATGCGGATTGCCAGAATGTGGCAAGATGAGGAAGAGTCCAAGTTTCAAAACACTGATTGTGCCTTTGAAAAACAGAAGTACTTGAGCACCTGAAACAATAAACCAAGAGGCCCCATGTTTCAAATTATTATTTCACTGACACTGAGGCTAGCGTGCTACAAATAAATAGATTGCGAACTGAAATATAGCGTGAACAAACACTCACCCCGGATCTAAAATAGTATTAAAAAAAAGGCAGATATCACCCCCCGTCATATTTGAAAAAGAGACGTGAACTTGGCACAGAGACCCATGCAGCCGTTTGGTCAGACACAAACCAAGTGCAGGTTGCGGCTCGGCGATCCAAAAGACCCTCTCCGTCCTCATTATGGAGCCCTGGTGCACATGAACCAGAAATAAGTTCTGCTCATATTTAGTGTCAAACACTTGACGCGGTGCGCTCTGCAGGTGGCGGCGATGCTCGTCTGGGTCATCTGACCCTGGAGCGCTTGACAACAATGGTGCCAGCGACCATGTCGTACACAGTCCTGTTGTGCTGGAAGAACAGAAGCGTGACAAAAGCTGGGAAGAAGAAAGCGATTGAAAAGTTCTTGCTCAGGGCTCGCACAGTTGATCTGTCAAGATAGATGGGGGAGGAAAAAAAAAAAGCATCATTAGAGAGGTTTTGTCAGCAATTTATGTTTTAAGAGTGATGTTGTCGGATTAGTAAAAAAAAATATCCAAATGTTTTGTGGGAGTTACAATGAACATTTTTTTATTTTAAGGGCAGCATGGTTCCACTCACGCGGACAGAGACACGTCAGTTGCCGGCACCACGAGGACCCGGTTGGGCTGAACCAGAACTGATGAGTCACATGTCACAACTCGAAGTCCAATGAGGAATTTTCCTGGGGTGGCTCCTCCAGCTCCCCAAATACACACAATCTGCAGATACACGTCAGTGGTTGATTGCCTTGCAGCTCAGAGGGGGGAAAAAAAGGGACAGACAAATACGGCTGTCGACTTACAACAAGTAAAAATATCATATTTACCAAACACTGCCTGTCCAAATTCATAGACTGCGTCCTTCGAAGGACCCTTCACATGCTGGGTCCTCCGAAGGCTCGTCCTCATGTAGCTTCTGTGAACTACATAAACAGTGGTAAATTTGAACAGGCCGACCATAGAAGAAGAGCAGCGTCGAAATGGGGTGGGGAAGTGTAGGCAATGAAAGCACGCTTCGAAGTAGCCTTCGCTCAAAACCTGTCTCCATTGACACAAAGGCCAGAAGGGCGTGTGAATTTGGGGACCGGCGTGCGATCGTGTCGCGCTGGAAATTCTGTCAAATTCGGCCTTTGGAAGATGTAAACTACGAATTTGGACACAGCCACTGTTTTATTCTTCAAATAATGTCAAAGAAATACAGTGGAACATTTCAAGATGAATGATCATGAGGTCAGACAGTTTTGGAATTACAAAACATGACGCATGATGTCCTCTAAGCCATCACAGTAACAACTAAAAAAAAAAAAAAAAAAAAGTTCTAGAGCTGTGTTACACATGGGTGAAACACAAATTCCCATTTCCTAAAACATCTTCCCCTGAAAAAAATGTTGATTGTTTTCAGGTCTTAATATTATGTAGTGTTTTTTTTTGTATATTTACTTGCATGACAATTGCTAATTACTCAAAACACTTCCTGTATTGTATCAAGTGACACTCCTTACCTCATAAAAGCACACTAATATTGGGTATACAAGAGCAACCAGCATCATTTTCTGCAACTCCTCCATTGACGTTTCCTCATCTATTTCGTCGATGATAAAATGCATTGCGAACTTGGACACATCCCTTAAAGAGAGAAAAAGCAAGAGAGGCTATTAGGGATTACAAACAAGCCTCAAGCAACACTGCATGAACGGACTTGATTCCACTCAGGTGCATAATACTGATGATAATGGTCGCTTTGATGAAAAACAGAATGAAGAAGTCCACAATTTCAGCAAGAAGTCTTTGGAGAGGTGAGGGGATGGTGTACTCTCGACCTGGAGAATGGATCAGAAGCCTGGGTCAGCACAGAAGCTTTCGGGAATCGTGGGTAATTCTATTGCAGGACACTTAGACGGTGACTGCATAGCTTAATGACATTGCAGCATGTTGTAATGCATTGATTTTCTTCTATTTACCTGGCCTGCGCGCGTTTCCATTCTCCTGTGGCAGCTGCTGCGGCTGAGTGGGCACTGCAGCCCCGCCCGCAACTTCACCTCCTCGGCTACTCGGGGAGCCGGAGGCGGCCGCGTTGAGCGACAAGGGGACACCGAAGTACTGAGCGTTGGGATCGAGACGCGCCGTCGACGTCCCGTTGACCGACTGTAGAACACACGGATAGGACATGGCTGCTGACGCCGCCAGCCAGCTCTGCCAAGTCACAAAGCCGGTGGAGTACTGGCACATCCATGCCTGTAACTTCTCGCAATACTCCGCGGTGGTGCAACTTTCAGGTATATCTTTCTCGTCTTTGGGTGTCTCCTTTCGGTGTGGATCTTCTCCTACGCGGCGTTTATGCGCATTAGAAGCTTTCTTCTTATCGGTGTCCATGTTTGTGTTTTCCATGTCCGCCATGTTGGACAAATGACGCAACGTCTACGTCACCCTAAATATTACACGAGTCCGGAGGGGTTTTTTAAAACTAGGATTTGACGGAGTAGTCACGTCAACTGTTTTTTAAAATTTACTTTTAAACAAATTGTGTTTTTATACAATATATAGAATTAAGACAAACTCGATATTGATTAAAACGCACACGCGATGCCGCACACGTTCTCACTCTTGAAAAGAAATGGTACAGGCCAAATTGTCCAACGCATTAGTTCAATTACATTTCAGAAAATGTTATCAGTTTTTTGAAACGGACAGATGGACAAAGTCGTTCATGTACAAGGTAGACGAAAAATAAATTCCATTGTAAATAAGATGTCTGAATTATTTAATTAAAAAGGTGTAACAAGATAAATGCATAATTGTCTTTTAAAAATCTAATTCTCTCTCTCTCTCTGTGTGTGTGTGTGTGTGTGTGTGTGTGTGTGTGTGTGTGTGTGTGTGTGTGTGTGTGTGTGTGTGCGCACTGTATTTTACATACGGGCGGCACAGTGATTAACTGGTTAGCACGTCCACCTCACAGTGCAGAGGTCCAGGGTTGGATTCCGGGCTCCAGCCTTCCTGTATAGAGTTTGCATGTTCTGCCCTTGCCTGCATGGGCTTTCTCCAGGTAATCTGGGTTCCTCCCACATTCCCAAAAAATGCACGGTATGTTAATTGAACACTCGGAATTGACCCTAAGTGTGATTTTGAGTGTGAATGGATGTTTGTCGATGTGTACCCCGCCATCTGCCCAACGACAGCTGGGACAAGCGGCTTAGATAATGGATGGATGGATCTATCAATAAAAAACTAGATTGAATATTTTAAAAATACTTAACCAGTTTTAGGGGAAAACTGACAAATATGCAATAGGCTCTGTGTGATGGATTAAACAAACTGGGGACACACTTTATCATAACTGTCCTACACATATAAAAAAAAAAAAAGAAAAAACCTCATTGGAATTAAGATTGATTTTGAGATGTCAAGGGCTTTTATTGACTAAAAAAATGTATTTAGAAGCTATTATGTTCCCTTGTCATCAAGTCTGGCACACCAGGAGTCCACTGCCTCAAAGAGGCTTAATTAGGACAAGTGCACTTGCTTTATTTCCAGTCTGTGCATCCAAGACAATTGGACTAGCAAGTGAGGGGTCAACGCTTTGACCTGAATGGATTTGGCCGCACCACCACCCAGGCATAAGAGTCGACACTGATATTAGGAAATGTGTCCTTGCTCGAACAAAAGACCTTTGTCAAGAAACTTTTTTTTTTTTAATCTGCCTGTTCAGTTCTCAGACTTCAGAGCAACCAATGCGACTTACTCGTCAATGACACACAAAGTCCTCTTTAGTACAAAGTCTGAAGTCTTAAATACAGATCAGATGTTGAACCCTAAATTCCTGTTAAGCACAAAAGAAGCCTTAACACTTAATTCTTAAAAAGACTGTTCACATGGTCATAGAATTAGTCTGTGATTTGCTGACCCAATTGTGCATGTTGTAATGTGACAATTTGTGGTTTTCTTTTTAAAAATTGAAGCCCCCCCCCGCCCTTCAGCTTTGTTGTGATTTTTTTTTTTTAAGGTGGGGAGAAGCAGTGGCTCCCTTGACTTTGAGGGAAAAATTTTTGCCACAATATAAAATAATTAGTCAAAGAAATGTGTAGAACCCACACTGAATTCTTCGATTTTATTGTAAATTTTCCTTTTACAAAATGTCCTTTATAGTTCAACATACATTGATTGATGCAAGTGAACTCAAGCCTCCTTCTCATAGGTCCTCATTGCAACAACATCACCCATGATGCATTTCTGTGGAGACAAGATTCACATAGTTGTAATTAAAGGGGGGGGGGCATTTTAAAGAAAAATCAAATGTTGCATATTGCCATAGCGGTCAGCAACTTACAGCTGTCAGCTTGCCATCTTGAATCTCTCGTTCTAGTGTTGTAGACTTGCCATCCCACGTCTGTTTTTGCACAAGTTTGCCATTCTCAAAAGTGATGATGGTCTGCAGGCGGAACTTGCTTTAATTGCATGCAAAATGACCGTTTTGAGAAAGTGCATTCATTAAAAACCCACCTTGGTGTTTCGATCATCTGCCGTGTTCTCATCAAATTCCTCATCGAGTTTGAATTGAATTTCTTTGGTCTTGAAAGTGCTCTCGGACCTCATTGTGATCAGGCCCGCATCATCCACGTTGATCACAAGGTTGGGCTTAGCCATGTTGCCCACCTGCCGGGTGGCAAAGCCCACACCTCCGTGCCATGCAAAATTTGCTTCAGTTAGCACCACTTTACAGCAAACTCATGATCTAACTATGCTAAAGTGAAGTGTTATCCTTACCAATAGCCTTCATGTATTCATCAAAATTCTCACTGGCAGTGAGCTTCCAGGTTCCAACAAATTGCTCAACCATGGTGGAGTTAAAGTTGTGGCTCCGGGTCACAAAATATAATTCTCCCTTTGGGTGCAGGACGCAGACAAGAGGACAGACTGACACAGGGTGGAAATGTTATATTTGAAGCCCAGTGGGGTGAGTGCTTGATGCGGAGCCGCCCAATCAGGAGCAGGTGCCGCCATTGCCATGGTGACAATAGGGTTAAGAGGCGTGTCTTCAAATCAAATTCTGGTGTGAGGGTCTGAAGGGGCCATGTGGCGTTGCCCTCTTTTGACTTATTTTCACAAAGTAGCACATTTACTTCATGTCAACTTTCCTGATGATCGTTGAATAATCGCAATGGGCAAAGTATGGCCTGGGCACACATACAGCCCACTTTGTTTTTTAAACCGGCCCATTAAACCAGCATTTACATTGCCAGTATTCCTGTGTCATTTTTGTTTTTTTTTAAATGAATCCCATTCAATAATTTGTTGCATATTAGTGACATAAAAATACATATATCTGTACAATGATCAATGTTTATTTTTATTTTTATAAATAATTGATTGCAACTGAATTAAAAACAAACTGAAAGCATGAGATTTATCCATCCAATACGAGTAAAATAAACTCTACATTTTACATTTTAGATTCATATTTTCTTTTATCCTATTCATGAACGACCTGGCTAATTTTTCCATTTTAAAAATAAAATCTAGGCCAAGAAGTTTGCCCATGACTATTGTAAAGTCCACTGCAAAATTATCAGTTTCTATGGGCATACTATTTATAGGTACCTGTATATGTTTTGGTAAAAATTAATATATTTTTTTTATTCTACAGTCTACTGATAACATTACACCCAAATTCCAAATAAAAATGATTATCATTCACAGCATTTATTTGGAGAAATTGACAAATAGTCAAAGTAATGGAAACAATTCACGGCCCTTTCAGATATGAAATAATGCAAAGGAAACTTCTTATTCATCATTAAACACCATAAAAGCCTACCTCTGGTGTATCTGTTCAGAGTTGAAGTCACACCTTAGTATGTACCCCACCCGTCTTTCACATCGCTCTCGGATGACTGGATGCCACTCCTATACTGCAAACATTCAAACAGCTCGGCTTTGTTGGATGGCTTTTGATCATCAATCTTCTTCAGTCTTGGACTAGCCACGGCAGGGTCTGCTTATCTGGTTGTCATCCATTCACAAATCCACTGACTTGGCTGTGCGGGATTGAGTGTTGTCAAACAATCCTCAGAGTTGTGAGGCATTGTCAAAATTAGAATTAGACATTTTGAGTTCCCTTAATTTCTTCCAGAGCTTTTTGGTAAATACACAAATTCAGTCGTGATTTCTGATTGCATTTTTAATAAGCAACTTTACAGTTAAATTATACAAGTAAGCAATTGCTGAGTCATTTGTATTTTAAATATTAGCATATTTTTTCATACATTCATTTTTTTACACCACTTATCCTCATTAGGGTGGCCCGATGGGCCAGTGGTTAGCGCGTCGACTTCACAGTGCAGAGGTACCGGGTTCGATTCCAGCTCCGGCCTTCCTTTGTGGAGTTTGCATCTTCTCCCCGTGCCTGTGTGGGTGTTACTCCGGTTTCCTCCCACATTCCAAAAACATGCATGGCAGGCTGATCAAAGACTCTAAATTGTCCCTGGGTGTGAGCGTGAGCGCGGATGGTTGTTCGTCTCTGTGTGCCCTGTGATTGGCTGGCAACCGGTTCAGGGTGTCCCCCACCTACTGCCTGAAGACAGCTTGAATAAGCTCCAGCACCCCACGCGACCCTTGTGAGGATAAAACGGTTCTGAAAATGGATTGATGGATGGATTAGCCTCATTTGGGCCACAGCAATTTTTGGGTGAGAAGCGGGATGAACCTTGGACTGGTCGTAAGCCAGTCACATGGCACATAATAGACAAGCAATTATTCACATTCACACCAATGGACCATTGGAGCCAAGATCTTGGATTTTTAACCACGAGTCCATCATGCCGCTCTAACCAACTTTTAATTTTTGCACAAAATCCCTGCATACGTTGTCACAAATATTGAAAATATCATTAAATTCAAAGTGAAATAAACGTATTCGTGCATTTTAAAAGACACGAAGTTGCAGTATTTTATTTCAATCAGCAATGAAATTCAAAGGACTTCATGTTGCATTATGAAATACGTTCTTTCTGCAGGGGCTAGATCTCACCACTTGATGGCGTGAGAAAAGCGTGTGTCAGAACCTGATCGCGTGTCATGAAGTCCAATGCAAAAGCTGCATGAAATTCCTCCGCTTATGAAAGGATAACGCTCATGAGAATAATATATTTCACCTCTGTAATATAGTGTGAGGTAATGCAACTATGTTATAGTAAAAAGCACCAATATGATGCAGTTTATTTCTACACCACTGCAGCCTGCACTAAAACATTCTCTCCACATCTCTGGCTGTGTCACTTAAAACTGTCATTTTACAGGTATTTCACATTATTATATGCATGTAGTGTAGTTTTCTTCCAGCCAAGGATTTTGTTACATACAGAAAAATAGCCAACTTACTTGCTAAGTCTGGAATTATACAGCTCCCAAAGAGTGTCCTTGAGATGCAACCTTCCTTTTATTGTACAGCTTATCCTCACAAGAGTCATGGATGTCCTGAAGTCTGGTCACCTGCCAATCGCACTCTGCTCGAAATGGTGAGTTAAAATCATTTTGACGTTCTAAAATGTGTTTTAAGATGAGATTTAAGGATGGACAGAGAATGGAAGGTTATTCCAAAAAGAGGGACCGGCAACAGAAAAAGCTCCATCCCGTCTCAGGCTGCATTGGGTCCTCGGTACCGCCAGTAGCGTTTAGTCCACTTACCTGAGGCAACGGCTGGCACATAGAGGTGGAGGAACTCAGAGAGGTAAGGTGGGGCTTGACCATTAAAAAAATTAAAGACAAATAAAAGAATCTTAAAATGAACTCTAAAATGTACAGGGAGTCAGTGAATTTAGGCCAGAATTGGAGTTAAATAGCGGCGCTACGCGCTCCAGTAAGGAGGTGACTAGCAGCATTTTGGACCAACTGGAGTCACTTGAGGGAGGATTGATTGACTCCAAAATAAATTCTAGGACAATAATCCAGTTGTGAAGTAAGGCATGGATTCCTCTTCCTAAGTGCTGTCGGGTTGTGCTAAGTGCTAATGCATGACATATTCATTAGCATCAACCGCTTATGTCATAACTACAGAGGCTGGGCTGGGCTGGATCTATGATGGAATGTGCATGCAGGCCTTCATCTGCATACACACAGATGACATCTAGTGAACATGAACGCTGTCTGGCAGCCGCAGAGAAGTACTTTCCTCCTGGTTTTCATCAACACTTCAAGCCCCATTGATGGCAGAACAGAGGCCGCGGACAAAAGCTGCATATACTGTACAAACAGTGCTCTGAGCGGCAGCACACTGACTCATTCTTTAGTGTGTGTGAGAACGGAGGGGGACCCCTTTTAGCTCCTTTGTGTTGGTGTCTGTCAACAGTGTAGTTGCAGGCCGGGCCCATTGTGGCGGCCAGTGTTGCGTATTGACACAGGGCCTCGCTCAGCTTGTTCCCAGGGTCCAACCTGAGGACTCATGAATAATGGAGAGAAGATCCTCCAGGCCAAAAGGAAATTGAAAAGTTGGGCTCGGCTTCTTGAAGACATAAACGGCTTCTTTTGCATGCCGGTACGTAAGAATTGTAGTCATGCCGCCTATCGTGCTGCTGGAGGCCTTTGATGACGTGGCTTACACAAATGCAACTGGGAAAATTCATTGCTTAAATCAACATATTGACATGTATGGCAGGTACCTGAGGTGATCTGGAGGTGCTTCAGGAATGCTGGAACACAGCAATTTTTTTAGCCTGAGAGCAAGTCATTATTGATCATTTTCGGAAAACAAGAAAAAAACGTTAACATTGCAAATAACTCATGAGCTAAGTACACTGTCGGAAACTTATTTCCTTCTGTATCATAAATTCACCCAGCAAGTGAAAAGACTTTTGGGGAGCATTCCAAGATTCCTGAAAGCTGTGATTCCAGCATTTTTCCATTGAACGTTGATAAGATAAGATAAGATAAGATATCCTTTATTTGTCCCACACTGGGGAAATTTACAGCCTTCAGCAGCAAGATTGAGGGTAGAAAGAAGAGAAAAGAAAACACGATACTGTCAAACTAAATATGTTTGTTAGATGCTTAGTTTGACCGTGAATTCAAATGAGAGCGGCAATGAACAGCTTGGATCCTCTTTTTGGAAGCATCTTTCCTCATTATATCTGCCAAACTGCCACTTGTTGTGAAGTGAGTTAGTCACCTGCCACCATAGAGTACAATCTCAAGTTTGGCCTAAGTAAAAAAAAAAAAGGAACTGGCAAGAAATTGGCCAATCCACAGCAGGCGCATCTGTATATGTGACAGTAGGGTCATAACAGGGGTTATATGACATCACCAGAGTTCTACCAACAGGGGGCATCCCTTTGAATCTAGCGACCAAGCAGATCTAAGTCATATGCTGAAAGGCTCACACACCCTGAGTGGTGTGGCCCCCCCCCCCCCGTTTTTAACTTTTTGTGACCACTACATTTAGGGAGAACCAGAGGCCAGCGTGGGCGCCGAGTGTGCGTGTGCGCGTGTGTGCGACCGAAAGTGGTCAGAGTGGTGCTTCTTTGCTTGCGTGCTTTGAGCTTTTTCATGCATCCAGCTTTGATCTTCCTCATCCCTTTATCCCTCCACGCTCCCCGCGCCTCTGGCTCCTGGTTCATGGCACACCGACGGTGGTTGCAAGAGCGGAGTAAAAGCGGAGGGGGTGGGGTCTGAGGGGGCTTTTCACAGAGAAACTTCTTGTTCCGTCAATAAAGTAGAGAAGCAGGGACCCCTGCCCAAGGCGTCATGCCACCGGGTGCAGATTGCAGTGGGCGGGGTGGATGGGGGCTGTTCTGAAGGGATGCACATACTGTACAGCTCTCTGATTCTCTTTTATGCTCTTAGATCCCCCACCAGTGGGCTGGAATTCTTGTGTGAAAAAAAACCCACCACAGTGCTAAGAGGGTGGCCTCATGACCTCTACATGGGAAAGTCCAGCGTTCAGCTGCTAGTTATATAAAGCCTGCCAGAGTCATGACAATCCCTGATGAATCACTCAAGCCTCTAATGTCTCTTAGCATATCACATGGAAACATTATTTTCTGCCGGCTCATTTAATACAGCTCGATGGTTTTTTTTTTTTTTTTTTGAACAGACAAAGCTTGAAATAGACCGCGCTCAGACATCGCCGCGCAATGTGTCGATGGTCATGTGTTGTCATGTGACTATTGATGTCAGAGAGCATCCTTTATCTTCCCAGAGCATGATAATCCTCAGACGCATGCTCCCCCGCACCCCCACCTGCTGAGC